AGAAGTCTGTTAGCTTTGGATGTAATAGCCTTAACATGGTCATTCCAAGTGAGGTTTTGATTCAGGGTTATTCCAAGGTAAGTATGCGATTGTACAGATTCAATTGGAAGATTATTAAGAATGGCATGGTATTTAGATGTAGCTGGTGTTAGTGAGATATTTTAAAACTCTGAATCAACTTTGCTTCAATCAACATGCAAATTGTTAATCACCATCATATTCATCATCATAATAATAATAATAATAATAATAATAATAATAATAATAATAATAATAATAATAATAATAATAATCATTGCCAGCATCGTCATCCTCATGATTATCATTCATATTAACAATATAACTGTTGAGTTATTATAGTTTTATTAGTAATATTATTTATTAGGAAAAATTATTATTATTAGTATTATTGAAAGAAACTTATTCTGTTCAGGATAAATAATTTAGAAAGAATTATTTTTTATTTACGAGTGTTTATTTATTGCATTGCAATCAACAGTGTATCAGATACATGATACTTGGTAACCTACCTTTGGAAATAGTAATTAGCGCCCTCAGTTGTTGGTTTTTGAAGTTCTCGTTACTTTGTAAATAATTACAAATATATATATATATATATATATATATATATATATATAGTATATATATATATGTATATATATATGTATATATTATATATATATATCTATTATATATATTTTATATATATTATATATATACTTATAAGTTTATGAAAAAAGAAATTGTGCCAGAATCTTAGAAATATGCTGATGTTGTCCCATTATATAAAGAAGGGGGTAAGTCTGTACCATTAAATGAGATGAGAAGTACAAGTCTCCCTCCAATTAAAGACCACTTTTGGGACATTTTTGGACTGGTGTTTCCATGGTTTTTAGCAGCCTTGGTCTCTCATTAGAATAATCAAGTTAAAAGAAGTTTTTTTTATTTTGGGACCAGAGAATAGTCATCTTTAAGGTGGTCATAAATTGGAGGTCGAGTCTTTCATTAAGATGAACACAGGATTGAGCTAAAGCCGCAAGCGAAATCAAAGATCGTGGAGTTGTTATTGATAATAAGTTGAATTCTTGATTTCTCATTCCACACCGATTTCACGTGTCACGTAATTTCTACGGCAAATAAGAAATTGGGAACCGTTCATTTAGACATTGGATTCAGATAGCTGTTTCTTACTATATAAGTTACTTATTCGCCCGTCATTTGAATATTGTAATAATGTTTGGGTTACTAGTTTTCTTGAAGATTGAGATAGGTTAGAGAAATTACATTAAAAAGCTGCTCAGTTATTCCGGAGTTGAGGGGACTGGATAATGTGTTTAGCAAGACTAAACCTTCGAACTTATAGAAGGAAGAGAGCAACTGTTATCATCGAGGTTTTTAAAATTGTTAATGGTTTGATAAGTTGGGAGTTGGTACGTGTTTTGAATTGTCGCCAGCTGCATTTACTAGGGAACATTCATTAAATTTATATTAAAGAATTTTTATGTAAAAAAACCCTAGAGTTAAAACTATAGTGAAGAGAACAAAGTTTTAGTGCGAGAGTAATTAACGATTGGACTAGTTTGTCGGGTGAAGCTGTGGATTCACAAACAATTAATCAATTTAAATCAAGGCTTGACGAACATTGGCTAAATCACCACCAGAAGTTTAAACCGTATGTAAGAAACTCAGACAAAGGGGCGATTAAGCATTCTTTAGCTTCAAGATCAAGGTATATCATGGTAAATTACATTATATTCTGTCATAGTTATCCTCGTGTTACTCCGTACTGTCTGGTTCATTAGTGAGATAAGTTGATTTCTGCACACAGGATCAGCTACATCAATGTCGAGCTTCTCGAAATGAGTTCATGAAAATGTACTGTACTCGATTGATGAACAGTAGTTTGTTGACGTGGCAAAGAAAATTTAACTCAATATTACTCTTAAATGGACCGTCAATGTTATCATCCAGTGATTCCTGATACAAGTCTCACTTTGTTTTGTTTTGTTTTTTGTCTAATTGAAGTGAACACGTTGGCTGCCAGCGACGGTAGGCCTATACTCGTCCCACGGGGTTTTGCTGGTGGCGCCAGGACGACTAAAGTATACTCGTCAAGATAGGGGTAACATTTTAGCGTTTATTACTTCTTTGTTATACATTTTAGAACCACAGACTTAACGTCTGGTAGTTCGGGGAATTTTATGTTTTTTGTGTTATGTTGCCGGCCGGCAGTACATTCGAGAGGCACAAATGGAGGCTCCCTTAAAACATATACCAAACTATGCAAAAAGCGGACGAGATCACTCGTTCCCTATTATTTGTTAGACATCATTTTGATGATATATGACTAGATAAAAATTTTTAAAAAGTATGTTTGTACATGAAAACATGTTTTGGCACACGGAAGGAACCTTAAAAAAAGGCAGTCAACGAAAAAATTAACATTAACGTTTATCCTTGGTTGCGAACAAGTTAATACTTACTAGTTAATTTTTTTATTGGCCTGTAGGCCTATAGTGATTTTAAGGAAGCTAACGAACTCAGTTGATTAACAACCAGTATTACCAAAGTACAATTTCTAAATAGCTGTTTCTGACGATCACTTTAGTGTACAAATTATACGTTGAGCAGTGTAATCATTTTCAAACATTCGTTCCTTATCCATGACGAAAAATGAAGTAGGACATTTTTACGTTATATCACAGTAAGGCTCCTTGACTTGAAAAAAAAAGACCAAAAAAAATAAAAAATCAGTGATGCTGTTTGTAGACTAAAGCTTGATTGCCATACACGCCATCGCCGACAGCTTTTGGATTACCCCCCAAAAAACAGTACGGTATTAAGTAAGAGGCATATTACTTATCTATGCCAAACATATTACCATGTGTATTGATTTCTTGTTCATAATACTTGTAATTGCATTGTTGCAAGTTGTGCATAACAAGAGATTATATAATCCTCTCAAGAGTTGGCTAATTAATATTCCATCTTCACCTTCCTCTGCTAGTTGTTATTCTCCACTGACGTCACAGCTACACTCTGGTTTTTCCCTATTTTTTGTTGCCTTACCGTACTATTTGTCTTTGGTGATTGCGCCCTCTTCGAAAAATGAAAATATAGTTTGAAACTTTTAATGCAATTTGAAGAAAACAAGTCAGGATATTTTGAGTTTTATTAAAATATGTGACGAAAGATACCGTAAACAAAATCAGTCATGTTTTGCTTAATTACATAATAATGCAAGTTATAGATTTTTAAAATATTCCCCGCCTGACTTTTCGAAAATGAATAAAGACTATCCTTATCGTCGTCATTTTTTTTCTTCTTAATCAAATAATTAATCGCTTAGTTTCCTACAACAATTTGTCTGTTTACATTTACAAAGAATATTATTGTTAATTTAACTTGGTATGTGACTACATTTTGATGATGACTCACTTCTATATTGCAGATTATCTGGAAATTACAATAACAACACATTATCTAAACCATAATATGCCGCATGTACTTTTAATTAAAACAATACAAACTTCATTATTTTTATACATATACAGTATATTTAAAGTTTTTATAGTAAAATCAAATATTCATCTTGATGGAGAGAACATAAATTGGTATCGAACAGTTTTCAACGTTTATAATGTTTTTGTAAAAATAATGTCTTTCAAGGCAATTGATGATTTGAACATGCGTCGTCCGAAATATATATTTACTCATAACCAAAAATATATTTCGAATTCTTAACAGTTTTTAATTGGTGCGAAGAGTCACCCACGTGATAGAACATGCTATACTCCTTGTAACTGATTGGTTGAAACAAATCTGTAATAGTCTGTGAAGTGGTGCTTCTAAGATCTACTGGCTACGACTGAGTTGTAAGGCTTTCAATAGTTGCTGGCATTGGTGATTTTACTTATCTTCTTGGCCGAGTTCATTGCGTAAATTTGAGGGAGAGCGTTTGTGGAAGCCAAAGCACTCCATTAACGTCATCATGTCGTTGGCCGCTGCGCAAGGTTTTCCTCGCTTAATCGCCTTGGTATGGATTTCGTTTAGATCTCCAAGAATCCGCTTTAATATCTGATAGTTCTGAAAGATTAGGACAATTTTAAGAAACAAGATCAATAATATCGATATGAACCATTTTTTACGTTGTTAGAATAGCAAGTACACATCAGATTAGTTTACGATCGGACACTCAGTGATGTGTCCATGGCATATTTTACATAAAGAATATGACTAGAAGATGATTATGATGATAATGATGATAATGGTTAGGATTACGATGATGATGATGATGATGATATTGAGTATGGTAATAATGATTATGATGATAATGATTGGGGAATGCAGAAAATCGAGAGATAGAGGTCCATATCACCAGTCAGTGGGGAGCCGACAGTAACCCAGGTCGTCCCTTACTTTGTAACCCTGTAACCCGGTAACATTAACCCTGGCCGTCCCTTACTTTGTAACCCTGTAACCCGGTAACAGTAACCCAGGCCGTCCGTTACTTTGTAACTCAGTAATCCGGTAACAGTAACCCAGGCCGTCCCTTACTTTGTAACCCAGTAATCCGGTAACAGTAGGCCTAACCCAGCCGTCCCTTATTTTGTAACCCAGTAACCCGGTAACAGTAACCCAGGCCGTCCCTTACTTTGTAACCCAGTAACCCAGTAACAGTAACCCAGGCCGTCCCTTAACCTCTAACCCAGTAACCCAGGCCGTCTCTTACTTTGTAACCCAATAACCCGGTAACAGTAACACACCCAGGCCGTCCCTTACTTTGTAACCCAGTAACCTGGTAACAGTAACCCAGGCCGTCCCTTACCCTGTCCCTTTCCAGCTGCTACTCTCTCCAATTTGACTGCCATGTTGTTGACCTTACATAGGACCTACCAGAAACTGGTTAGTGGTTTCAGATATAAACTATGTATTTGTACGAAGGATTTAACGATTGAACGCTTTATGATGCTAAACATATCTATTTTTGGAAGTACAATTGAACTAAATCAATATTCAATCTACTTATATTGTACGTCCAATCTAATTTAAACATTGTAAGGGCATGTCATTATGTCTAAGTGTAGATAACACGTACAACGTATGTCAATATAGAAAGTGTTTAATGTTCACTAATGTGTTATGGATTTACATAAAAGCGTTTATTGACTACCAATGTGTTAGATAACACGCAACCTTTTGTGTGTGTTAGATAACACGCAGCCTTCTGTGTGTGTTAGATAACACGCAACCTTCCGTGAATAAAGAAAGTGTTTAATGTTATAGATTTACATGAACGCGTTTATTGAATACTGTGTGTTGTAAAATATGGGGGTATATGAGGTGCTCAAGCGCTCCACACCCTTTGCGGGTGTTGAGACCGACCAGCTCAGATTGAGCGAAAAGTGAAAGTAGTAGCCTGTCGGTAAACCGTAGAGCACCCAAGTCAACCTTTCCTTCCCGTGGTGTACCCTGGTAACCATTATCTTGTGATAGTAGGCTAACAAGGCTCTGGCTAAGGGAAGGGAAACCCCGAAAATAAACCTACTGCGATGGGCCAACAACCCGTCCAGTTCAAAATTATTGTTACGGAAACTGAAAGTATTACTCAAATACCAGCGTGCGCTGAAATTTGTGGTGATGATAGGATGACAGTCCAGATACCAGAGGATGAGGACATAAGGTACATGGATAGTATGACGCTGTCGGATCAAAGCCTACGGGAAGTTCGGCAGTCAAATTTGCCGCTAATCAAGCCTAAAGAAAGTATTAACATTGGATGTTGGAATGTTAGAACGCTCTACACAATTGCGAAATCTGCGCAACTCGCAAAGGAAATGCATAATTATAAAATTGATATTTTGGGCATTAGTGAATGCAGGTGGTCTGGACATGGGATAGTCAAATTGGGTACCGGTGAGAGTATACTTTTTTCGGGAAGAGAGGACAACTTGCATAAACACTGAGTGACCTTGAGGGTATCGAGAAGAGCAGACAAAGCAATAATAGAATGGAAACCTATAAATGATAGAATTATATTTGCAAGGTTTTATTCCAAATTCGTGAAGCTGTCTACAATACAAGTCTATGCACCCACTAATGAAGCAAGTGATGATGATAAAGTTATATTTTATGATCAGTTACAAGCAACAGTTGACAATATACATAAGCATGATATTCTTTTTGTAATGGGGGATCTGAATGCCAAAGCTGGAGAAGGAAACGAGGGATAGCGTATTCAAAATTCTGCTGCTCGTCTGGTTACCTTAACTAAGCGACGTATCCATATTACACCCATACTATATGATCTACACTGGCTTCCTGTCGACAAAAGAATTATTTATAAAACATTGCTGTTAACATATAAGGCAATGAACAATCTCGCTCCAGAATACATCACCGAACTCCTGACTCCTTACACGCAAACACGCTCTCTCCGATCCGCTTCTAAGAATCTTCTAAAAGTTCCGAAAAGCACTACCATCACATACGGCTCACGGGCATTCACCTCTGCGGCGTCTACCTTATGGAATGCACTTCCAGATGAAATCAGGAACGCCGACTCACTTCAGCTTTTTAAAACACAACTCAAAACTCACCTCTTCACTGAAAGTTTTGCTGAATTCCTTTAAGACACTTTTTACCACTTTTTTGTTTTTTTCCCTTCTTTTAACTGCTTAGCTAGACACCGCCATCACTTGAGCACCTGTGAGTCATGCATCGGCGGGCTTTACGCCTTAAATTGCCGATAAACGGTGCGGTGTTGGTTTGGTTCGTTTAGGAGTTTTATTTTTTCTTTGTTAGTCTAGGTTCATGGTTTTTTATTCTCTTGTCCGTTTCCTTCCGTTGTTGTGAAGCGCCTCGAGGTTGGTCTAACGGGAGGCGCTATACAAATCGCAAATTATTATTATATTATTATTATATGAAAGTGTGCTTGGTAGGCATGGAATTGGTATACGTAATGAAAATGGAGAGCGGCTGATAAATTTCTGTGGACTCAGCAACCTGGTGGTAACTGGTACTATCTTTCCTCATCGACTAATCCATAAGCAAACATTGACTTCTCCAGGAGGGAGAGTAAAGAATCAAATTGATCATGTCTTGGTAAGTAGACAACATAGAACATCTATAATGGACACAAAAGCAATGAGAGGAGCTGATATACCAAGTGACCATCAGCTGGTACGTTCCAAAATTAAACTAAAGCTGAAAAGAAAAATTGATAACAGAAGACTTAGACTTTGCAGACGATATCGCACTTGTGTCACCAAACTGTCAGCAATTGCAAATAAAAGCTACAAAACTCTCACAATTTGCTGCACAAACTGGGCTCAAAATTAATAAGATGAAATCAGAAGTGTTAAGGATAAATAGCAACAGTAATAATAGAATACAAATGGGAGAACAGCAACTAAATGAAGTCGATAAATATACTTACCTGGGTGCTATTGTCAGTAAACAAGGAGGGTCTAGGCCCGTTGCCACATTTGGGAAAGTCGAATATTTATATTATTTTGGTGGGTATTTTTACACAGATTTGTACTAGTAGGCCTATTGTAGCAGAATTTTTTCTTGATTATATTTACTTTCCAGTTCCTAGTCCTCTACACATATAAATATAATCTTATGTAAAAACTTGTGAACAAAATCCAATATGAGACATCCAACCAGGGATAGACTGACAGAGTAGGAGCAAGTTTATTTTCACCCGAATGCAACGTTTCATTGATTTATTCTATGCCAGAGTTAGCGATATTGCACAAAAATTTAGCTGTTTGCCTTAATCATCAAATAAACGTGTCTGAACTGTGAATAAGAGTAATTACCAAAATGTTTGAATTCAGCTAATTTTATATCAATTTAATTCATATTGGAATATCTTATTCAACAATAGCCTAAACACCATGAATGACCTTTGGCGAGTGTAGCCTTAGGTGGTTTGTATAGTTCATAAAGGCATCTAGCATAAAGTACAACAATATGATGTCTATCATTAAATTCATGTTGATGACGTTGACGCTTGAATTCAAATAACAGTGTGATAATACTCTTCCATTCGCTTCCTTAGCTTTTCCACTTGGCTGAAATTCGATTTTTTTTTATTGTTCAAACGTGTAGATCACCCGCTGTGCCTATATGCAGAAATTACCGAAAACAGTGTAGTGACGTTCTACGTTGTTATGTCTAAGCATAGAGAAATTAGAACTATTTTCTCTATGGTCTAAGCTGTCTGTAGGTTTGTTTATATCTTGTTCTCTTTTTGACGTGTTTGTTTTAAGCGCCTCGAGGTTCTACACGGGGAGCATGCACAGTTTAGTAATCATTCTTCACATTAAGTGCACAATACGCCCAGAATAATAAGAATGCTATTGAAACATGTTTGATGATTATATACAAAATCATATTATAAGGTTTGGCACTCCCTATCAACTATGATAATTAGTAGGCCTATCTCAATATTATGTTGGTTCTCTAAGCTTGGGTATATTTAATGAATTTATTTATGATGCCTAACTGTTCGAGTGAACCCCGTGATGTAACGCTATATATGGACTTATATGCCTATAGATACTAAATAAATGCATATCAATAACTAGCTACTGCACGTAAACTTTTTACTAAGGTTTTAATAGGCCAAAAGTGCTCATGCTACTCGACCAAACGCAAGAAACCTTTTGGTTGGATTTTATTGACAAACCTGCAGATTGACTGACCATCCCTGATTCTAAATGACACTGCGTTGAACCATAAAACATATTGTATAACAGTTATTTTTATTTCACGATATGGTTTTTCTCTATAAATGTGTTAACTCGTACTTTAGTTGTGATCTTGTACATCTGTTTGGTTTGCATGTTAATTCTAGAAGTCTTCGTTCCTGTCCTACCTTTAATGTCCCCTTTTGTAGAGTTGATGTCTGTAAACGTAGTTTTATTTCTAGACTTTCTCTTCAATATAATTCTCTTATTTTAACCTTTAATATTGACATTTTTCACAATAGTTTGTCTATATTTCGTTCTATTATTATTATTATTATTAATCATTTGAATAGGTGAGATTTTTGTACTCTTTCGTCTATATATTTG